CTGCACGCACAGTCTCACTGCCACACTCCCTCCTCAGTTGTTCCCACTGGGTACAGAGCCTTGGCAGGAGAGGGTGGTGAGGCACTGGAACAGGTTGCCCAGAGAAGTCGTAGATGCCCCATCCCTGGAAGTGTTCAAGACCAGGTTGGATGAGGCGTCGAGCAACCTGGTGTAGTGGAAGGTGTCCCTGCCAATGAAGAAGGGGTGGAACTAGATGATCTTTGAGGTCCCTTCCAACCCAAACCATTCTATGATTCTATGAGAGCGGTGCTACTCGAAGGCCTTGGTAGATGCTGAAATGCATCCAAACCACTGAGGATGCTGGTAGAAAAAGTTTTGTTTTTTTTTTTTTTTTGAAAAAGGGGGAGGCGGCAAAAATGCTTTATGTGGATCCTCAATGGCTGTTATTCTGTAAGCGTGTGAATTTTACAAGGCTGTCATTGAGTGATTTGCAGTTGCAATGCTCTTTCAGCAAGAGATTTGCATGCCTTTTGCTTGCTTGAAGCTGCCTGGAGCCTGCGTGCTTTCTGCAGGGCGCAGCCAGGAAGAGTGTCTCCAGAGAGATTGAAGGGAAAGGTCTCTTAAAGACTTGGATGTACAGGGATCTCCAAATACCATAATTATATTCCTAATTACAGGCTGCTACTTTGCTGAGCCATAAACAGACTGCAGTTTGCTTCTCAGATTTGATAATCAGATCAAGACAGGCCCCTGCCAAGGTACCAGCCTTGCCCAGGCCCTGCTCGGTGGCCGTGCTGAGATGGAAGCGTCTTCCTACAGCCCATCCGCTCCTACAGCAGGGTGAGGGGTTTTGAAGGGCTGGGGCTGTGGGTGCAGGCTGGCAGTCCAGTGCACAACCTTGCTGTGTCGTCCCTAGGGCTTGGGTTGCTTTGTCGCCTTCTCTGCTCCTCAGAACCAACTTCCCTGAGCGGTCCAACCCGCTTAGCCGCTGTCTCTGCTGGGTGAATTCCTGCAAGTCCACCCAGAAGCCACAAACTGGTTGAAGATGGTCTTGCTGTCCAGACGTTCTTGCTAATTTACCTTTAGTGAGTAAATGACTGTGGTGTTTGGATTATGGGTGTTGTGGGGAAAAACTGAGGGTTTGTGCTCCTTGACCATATTTCAAATGCGAGGGTGTGCTGGCACAGTATTAAACTGAGAAAACTTCGCATGATACTTAATGGAGAATAAAAGTGTGTTTTATGGGAAAGAGGTTTGCATGTCTGTGGCATCTGCAGGGGCTGTTTGGCCAAGGCTATATGTTGGAGTGAGTTTTGGATAGCCCTGACCTCTGGGCAAGCACTCACCCAGGCGTGAGCTCTGCAGATGAAGCTTTAGGGATACTTTTCAGTTAGTGCACGGTTTAGCTAAATCCTTGCCCTGTAAGGAAAATAATTGTTTCTCTCCCAGTGCAATGAGGATGAGGTGGGCTTTGAAATACACACAAAGAAGAAATTGTTTGTCCAAATTTTTCATCATGTTTGAGTGGGAGGGCCAGATGAATAGAGGATTGTTCTGTTCCAATCACTTACTGTCTTGCTGCTGTTTAAATAACTGAAGGCAGCTGAGCTCCACTGCTTGCGTTAAAAAAAACAACCCCCAAAAAACCTAAAGCCACGTTATTTGTTCTCAGTGCAAGTCAGCCAAGGACTCCAATCAGGAGAGCTCAGATGGAGGAGAGACACTTGCACTGAAGAGATGGGCAGTAGAACTTGTGTGTGGAAATGGTGTCCCAGGACACTGCGATCAGCCATCCCTGCCCTGAGGTTCTTCTCTGAACCCAGCTGTGGCTGCTGACCTGAACGTACCAGTCCTTTGAGCGTTGCTGCGCATTATAAGATGTATTGCAAAATTTTTTCTGTATTAAAAGGCTTTAGATCTATACATTGGTTTTTCTAGCTGTAACTAAGGGAAAACTGCCTAAAGCGCCGAATTGCCCTTTGTGCCAGTGACCGTGGCAAGGCAGGGAAAGAAGGAAGCGTTAATGTCGCTGTTGTGCACCCGGACAGCAGAGGGTAGAAGGGTTAAAACAGAGGTTTTCCTGAATTCAATAGAATTTGGGTTTCTAGATCCTTCGGATCCTTGCTTTGACAAGCAGAGCCCCTCCAAGCCCTCACCTTGGGCCAGATCCACCTCGTGTGGAGCCAGTAAGATGTCTTCAGCCCCAGAAAGTGCCCGGCTCTGTACTAGAGCCAGCCTGTAGCTGGGTGGGGGCTGTTGAGGTTCGGAGGTGAAAAAGGAGGGAAGGGAGCGCCCAGGAGCCTGTTGGCTGGCAGGTGGTTTTAGGGACACCACCATGAGAAGGTGCTGCTGGGGAAAGGCAACCAGGAGCTCGGGGAGCAGTTAGACAAGGCATGCTGTTCTCAGCAGGGGAGAGGAGAATTGGGAGACTAATGAAAAGGACAACGGTGTGACCAAAACAAAGCTCTGGGGCAGCGAGATGGGTGAGGAAGGATCATCGTATGTGGATGACTGCGGAGTAGGGAAGAGGTTAACAAAAACTTAAGGAACAGAAAACTGAAATTCTCTTAATCTCACCAGGCCTTCAGACAGCAAGTTCCAGTTGTGCAAGTGTAGCCCATAACACAGACAACATAAACCCCGGGTGGTGCAGGACCCGCTGCTCCTTGCCCAGCAGAGCCGGGAGAGCTGCCCTGCCTGCTCACTGCCCTCACCTTGCATGGGAAACTGCCACAGGGCACAGCGGGTTTGGAAACAAGCACGTCAGTTCCTTGGCTCACTCGTGCTGACTAGCTCAGGAAACTTCAGCATCTACACCACACAGGTCAGTCGTCGTTAGGACGCTTAACTGGGCAGCAGCATGCTGGGAGATACTTCTGGTGTGTGCTGCCTGTCCCTGCAACCATACTTGCGTGACGGATCTGGTCTGTTGGCTGCGACCTAAAATTAACGCCTTCCCATGCATGGCCTGTCCCACCCCCTCTTCCTGGGAAAATTATTTGAACATTTTGGCAAAGGATTAGTAGGGACTCTGGTCCAAACTGTGCATGCTCGCTGCCAGAGGTCTTTAGCATGCTGGGACGTAGACAGTAGGAAATCTGAAGTGAGCGTGATGGAAATGAAGTAAGATCTTACGCAAACGCTATTTTGAGTGACTGTTTCCTGAGGACTGGGTTCTCCCTGATAACATTTGATTCAGCCCCATGGGGGTCAGTGGCACAGCATGGGCAGGAAATGGGGCCGTGCCCTTTTCTGTCCTGCAGACCAGATGCCTCTTCAGCTTTTTTTTTGTGTTTATCTTTTAAAGTTCAATCCTTCTGACTCAGTCTCTTAGCTTCTAGTAGAAAAATCTCCTGTCTTGGGGAGGAAACCCAATGCGGAGCGAGGGTGCCGGCTGGCCACAGAGGTGCCTGTAGTGTCGTGGGCTGCCTGGGTAATCCCAGGCAAGTGGCTTGGTCCATCCACGTGCCCCTTCCCCTTTGGGAATAGCAATTAGGCCATTTTTCTGTCTTCTGATGAACTAGGATAATGTGGTAAGTACAACCAGGCACAGACTTACGAAAGGACTCGAGCACTAGCAAAAGTAGCTATCTTGGAGATTATGTGGGAATTGCCACCTTGGGTTTAGGAGCTGAACGTCCACCTCAATCCTTCTGCAAGAGTTTGATCTTCCCCATAGAGCAGGGGTGACGGGGGGACTGCTGCGTGTGCCTAGAAGTGCTGAACAGCTCGGGCTTATTCCCTGCCTGAGCACAGCTCAGCCTCCAGCGAAGCTCCGGCTGCCTCCTCCTCGAGGGACTGTTTATCAGCCAGCTCAGTGTGGGACCAGTTCATTGCAATGGTCACTAGAGGTGCCAGTCTGATTTGCTTTACTCTCAACCTACAGTGTGATGGGAATCGGGGCACTGAGGTTTAAAGCCTGGTTTCCACTCTAGATTCAGATTTCCAAAAAATCAGTGTCCTCTTGCTCGCCATCGCTGTGCTGATGTCTCGCTGAGGACTTGACTGCTGGTGCTGCAAGGATGGGTGGCTGTACAGGATGCAGGGAGAGCTGCGGGGCTCCCAGCTGGAAGGGAGAGGTACCAGGGCTGCTGCTTATTTAGCCTGGCATCTGTACAGGAGCATAAAAGTATAAACGAATACTTGCTTTTGTGTAAGTGCTCAGCCTTTAGGCTGATTCAGGTGAAATTAGTTCAGACAGCCCTGCTTCTCTTTTTGTGCAAAATAAGAGCTTTAAAGAAGTCCCAGCTCTCTTTTTAAATTTCTTGTTTATGTCAGATCGTACTTCTCCTTTTTGATGCTCCTTTAAAACTAACGGCAGCGATGGCCGGTGGTGGAGTCGCAGCTGATGGCTGATGGGATTTGTTTGCATTGCTGCGGAGGGGCAGATCATAATTGCCGGGCGGACTCCAGGCTGCGGAGCCTCCGGGCTTGTCTTTGGCTTGACCACGC